AGCCTATGACAGATAATTACTTACGCAGGTCTACGTCTTCGTATAGCTCCCATGTAACGGTTTCATTTAAGCATATTTTCCGAGAGATTTTTTTTTGAAAAATTTAAAGTTCTCTTAAAGTATTAAAAGAAAAATGTATAACGGGTGTTTAGAGATGCACAAATAGTTTCCATTTTAACTAACGTAGTAGGGAGCGTTTGCTAATATCTCGAGTACCCGGTATGGTCCAAACATGGTCCATGGTACCATTTATATAAAACTAAAGTCAGGAGCGAACATGAAAAATATTGGCTGTTACTTCTCGTAACTTCACCCAAACTTTGGGTAATAACAACTCTCCTAATATTTTGTTTTCAAACTTAACATATTCGAAATAGGCAACATTAAATTTAGCACAAAGATGTGAGTTGTTAGTTCCCTCTGGTAGCTTTCCCACAAAGGTTCCAAGTTTTTAATAATCGTTCATTAAATGCGAAATTGTTTCCCAGTTTTCTTCAAACTTCGCACATTGCACATTTATCTGTCCGAACACAAACCGAAATTTCCTAACTTGTTAAAATCCTCCTTTTTATTTACGTACAAAGAAAAAATCCTGTATCCTATGAGAAAGAACAAAAACTAATGGCCAAGGATACACCTTAAATATGTTCATATTTTATTATAAGATTTAAGCAATAAAGTAGGATTACCGCTGGCCTCGAAATCATATCGCTTAAGTATGTAATAATTCAAAACAGTAAAATGGGAAGTTGGTAGATTTCAACAAATAGACATACTGACTTTAGATAAGCTATGACTTTGTGGTGAACAAGAAGACGCTGATAACGAATATATACGAATATTTATGGGGTCTCCTACGAATATTTGAAGACATTATAAAATAATGACAAATTTAATAAATTCATTTCCACAAAAAAAAATTGGTAATGATAGTAGATTCTTGCAGGTTCCATAATTTGAGTTTTAAAATATCACGAAAATCATTACTCTAAACATACACTAGGTAACCCTGTAACCATGAGAATGACAGAACCAGACCAAAACTATCACCATAACTTACAAATACTCGTAGACCAAAACAAAAAAATAGATTTGGAGTATGAGTTTGCGCATGTCATGATTGTGTCATACTTTCATGACACACTGACAACGAAAACATGGACAACAAAACGAAAAAGGATGGTAACATGACGTTAGTCAAAAATGAACAGCTTTAGTTAGAGTACAAAGAAACCAAGTAAAATCTGAATATTTCTCGCATAAAATAAAATCGAACAACAATAAAACACTTCAATATGTCATGTACAACAATTACTACAACAAATATTGTGGAAAATAGTTCGCAAGAAAAAGTGTGTGATGTCTCACTGAATACTGCTAGACGAGTACGCACCGATTTGAAAACCTCACAAAATGTTTATTTGGCCAAATCATATGGACCAACACGTTCAAGGACGTCATCGTCAATTGCTATAAAAACGAGGCAACATCATCCGGCAGGAGACCAACTGCAACAACACCAACGTAAACATTCGCCTTATCTTGCAAGACAACACCAACAACAATCGTCACATGACAATATTTATTTTCAAACCTTAAGTAGTCCAAAAAATTCCCCAAATAAATTGTACAAAAGCAATGCAACAACCTCTGCCAATGTGGTGACGTTAGCCTCGTCGTCATCGTCATCGGCAAGAAATGTACGCAGTACGACTGCATCTAGCTCTGCTGCACACAATGCAACTACAACAACATCGAATGTACCAACAACTGTTGCTAGCACGCGAAGATATTTGAGACGAAGCAATTTCATACTGACTGCTGCCAAACATGTTGTCGATGATTCACGTATTCTGTCCACCAGTGCACCGCACGAAGGTTCATCATACCTTAGGTCTATTATCTGCATCCTGTTTTATACATACACATACATACAGACCCAAAGGAAATGTGGTTATTTTAGAATGACAACAGTGGATATTGGTTATTAGCAATGTTTGTACAGATACAAACTATTAAATTTAGCTATCAATTTGTTACCCTCCACCATTCTATGGAGGGTAAATTAACTTTGTCATTCCGTTTGTAAATCCTCGCAATATTTATAATAGACCCTACAAAGTATATATATTCTGGATCAGTGATGTAAATAGCGATGTCGGTCGGTCTGTCGGTCCGTCTTTCGAACGAATTGAGATAGAAGGCTAAAATTTTGCATACATGCATAGTTTACCAGTATGCAGGTTAAGTTCGTAAATGGGCTCTGTCGGTCCACGTTTTCGTGTAGCCCCCATATAACGGTACCTCCCGATATTCCGTATTTTTATGATTTGCGTGACATTATTCGCCGGAATTGTAACAAATTTCGTATTGGGAGATCCTAATGGTTACTACAACCTATGGAAAAAAATTTCGTATGCAGGTCCACGTCTTCGTATAGCCTCTATATAACGGTACCTCCCGATATTCGGTATTTTCATGATTTGTTGGTATTAGAGAATACCAGGTAGCAACATACTTCCCCGTAATCCTAATACCATTGCAAAGGAGTTGTCGGTCAATGCTTCTTAATGAAATCATATCCTAATCTGAACCGATTTCAATATAATTTGACAAAATTTACTTTTACACTAAATTCCGTCACACCTTCCATATTTCATTGAAATTGGAGGTACATACCGTGTTTGGTGCATCAAATATGTGGCCGAGAATATAAATATATGGGATCTATATCAAAATCTTAACCGATTTCTAATTAATTTGCCAAAATTATTATTGTAACCAGATTTCGCCACACATTCTAAATTTCATTGGAATCGGACATACATATCGACCGAAATATATATATATGGGAGCTATATCCAAACCTCAACCTATTTCAATATACTTTGCAAATTTTTTTGGTACCAAATTTAATTTCTCTGTCCGAGTTTTATTGGAATCGGACATACATATCGCGTTGGGTGCAACAAATATATAAAATCGGCCGAAAATGTATATGAGAGCTATATCCAAATCTGAATATAATTTGACAAAATTATTTTTGTTCAAATTTAGTCACTCATGCCGAATTTCATTGGAACCGGATCGTGTTTTGTGACTCAAATATGTGAAATCGAACGAAAATATATATGGGATCTGTATTCAAATCTAACCCGATTTCAATATAACTTGACAAATTCATTTTCTAATCAAATCCCGTCACACATTCCAAATTTCAATGGAATCGAACATGGTGTTTGGTGCATCAAATAAACGAAAATATATATGGGAGCCATATCCAAATCTGTGCCGATTTCAATATACTTTGATAAACACACTTTTTAGACAAGTTCCATTACAAATTCCAAATTGCGTACGCGGCGTCTTTAATGCATCAAATACTTGAAAGCGGCCGAAAATATCTCCCATACATACTTTCGGCCGCTTTCAAATCTGAACTGATTTCTATATAATTTGGCAAATTTATTCTTGTTCCAAATTCCGTTACCGATCAAGAGATATGTGCATATAAAATCTCAATTTTTGGGAGGTACCTCCGATTCTGACCCTATATCTCCAGATCCAAGTGGAATTTCAAAAATTTATATAGCCTATGTTAATTTCAGCCGATGTTGTACTATACTTGAAATTTTCAGGAAAATCTGTTCAGAGGTTATCGAGTCCATAAATTACAAACATACAAACATTTTCCTCTTTTACAGACATAGATTAATTGAAACTCAAGAAGAATATATAGGGCTACAGTTTCGTTCGTAACTCATCGAAATAACCCTTACAAATAATTTACACATGTCCATCTGCGGTCATCAGTCTAACTGTTTAATGGGATCGATATAGATTTGGCAACAGAATTGGCTAATGTTTGGAATTTGGGGTTTGCCTTGAGTTCTTCTATTCTGCAAAAAAAAAAGATAAAATCGGTCCTTCATTTGGGAATTGCTCTCCTTCAACGGTTCAACCCGATTTAAGATATATTAAAAATGTTTTCGAACTCAAACGGCTAAAACTTGGTATTAGGTTTACCTCAAGTCGGTAAAATAAATTTTGAATTCAATACATCTTTTGGTATATGTAACTGTGATCGTCGGTATTATTGTTTCTATATGTCAGATTTTTCGGCGGTATTGTTTCAAATTTGGTATTTTGAATTCGTAGTGGGTATTACATCCCATGGCAGAAAGCTGCTTATACATGCCAACATCTTCTCATGGCTTCCATGCGATATTTGATATTGTGACGATTTAAGCCAAAAATTCTGGTATTTGAAGTTTAAAATGAAACTCGATTTTATATTGAAATGGTTTGGCGAAGAACGAAGCTTATTGAAATTTGTGAGAATCGGTCCAAATTAAGATACAGCTCTCATATCTATCTTCGTCCGAATGTACGACCGAATACATCTTAGAAAAAATATTTCTATAAATATACCCGGTAAAATTAGTTACACAGATTAACGTCTTTCTGGTTCTTCTTTTGATTATAATAAAAAAAGCGTCAAAATGCCAAATTTTGGGAGGCACCTTCACAGGAAAACTTAAACCTTTATAGACATCTTTCTGTCCGAGATTCTGTTATCCACGTCTAACTTCAAATACCAACATTTAAATAAATTGCTTAAAAATGTGGCTGCAATCATACAAATTCCGAATATTGGGATGTACCGTGTATAGGGTGGATGTACAGGAGCGTGAACCTATACACCACATTTTTAATTGGATAAGAATTTCAGACATAATATGCATATGACCAAAACTTAAACCATATAGTTCGATCCCCTCGAAATTTCGAGTGATTACCTTAGGACCCGATCATGTCCATGGATAACAAATGGAATGGGGGTGGTGGGTATAAAGACCCTCTTTAAAAAAAACGCCTCCTTATTCAGATATAAAATATGCCATTTTCAACCAATATCTACTGTTATAACCTGCATCGTCTTCCCACAGTAATAAAAAAAAAATTCTTATAATTTTCCTCTCTTTTTTCTCGTTTTCCAGTGCTCACTTGCCTGCACGTGCAACCCGTTTATTGAATCGTTCTCGCATGCAGCAACACTGTACCTTGAACAACGATAACGATTCCGACAGCACAAGATCTCCATTAAGTTCGCGACGTCACCATAACACGGCCACATCGTCACGTAATTCCACAGTATCATCGGTGGCCAACAACTACAATAATCAGGGCAACAACAGCAGTGGTAACAATACGGCCAGCTCATCGCTGCAGCGTAGACATCAGAAGCAGAAACAGCATCAACATCATCATCCAGCATCGTCATCTTCATCGGCCGCCTACCATCAGCATCAACGCGATACGCACAGTTCGTCGGACGATCTCATGTTGTATGATAAATCGTTTAGGAATGCTATGATCCAAGATGTGCTGCAGTTCAAGAAGCAATTGTTACGTTTGCGCAAAATACTGCAGGAGGTATGTACATAGTAGTGATGTGTGTTCTGCAAGACCCATGGAATTCCCGTGGGAATGACTGGTTGTTTAAGTTTTTTTTTTAATTTTTTGTTTGTTTTTTTCCTTGTTTTTTGAATAATTGCTTCTTTTCTATATCATTTTTTTATGTACACTCATATGGTTTACTTGGTATCGCACATTATGATCGCCTCAACATTAAATAACGCAAAAAATACCTGCACAAAAACGCACAAACTTTGCAACTTCTTGTCATGCACACTTTCTGTGTATTTAATCGTTTTCTGGATCTTATGTTCTTTTTTGTTCGTTGTTTCAAGAATGAAAATTGTTTGACGAGGGTAGGTTTATAAAATTGATCATTTATAGACCATATGCATTCATTTGATGTTAAATCTTGAAAAAAAATATTTTAAAAAAATATAATAAAATATTAAAAAATATTTTAAATATATGATTTTGACAGGGGTTATGGAAGTTTATATTTTGGATATAAAGTAAATAAGGGTTCGAAAGCTAAAGAGTCAAATCTAGTAGACGCTATTATGAAGCATGATCATTTAGGGACATCAAAAGAGACTGAGAGTGGAGCCCAAACATTAAAAAATATAAATATTTGAGATACAAACAAATGTGTTTTATACGAAGTCTAATCAAAAAAAAAGAATTCATGTAGAGACTCTATATCGGTGCCGTGTAAGGGGGTATTTCCCCCCAAAAAATTATTTTGTCATAATCATGTTAAAAATAACTACCCCATATTGGGCCGATCAGTATGTCCGATTCTTACATAGGACATATTAATTGATAGAAGGGAGAACATTCTTTTTCGGGATATTGCCGGACAGATGGTCCTAGATACTTTGCAACCGGTTTCTAAGTGCCATTTTCTAACAGCTTTTAGGAAGAGAGCCTTTTTTATAACCTTCACTGGAGGGTATATTAACTTTGTCATTCTATTTGTAACTCCTCGAAATATTCATAATAGACCCTACAAAGTATATATATTCTGGATCAGCGTAAAATTCTAAGACGATCTAGCGATGTGAGTCTGTCTGTTGTAATCACGCTATCTTTCGAACGAATTGAAATTTTGTATACATGCATAGTTTACAAGTAGACAGGTTAAGTTCGTAAAAGGGCCATGTCGGTCCACGTTTTCGTATAGCCCCCATATAACGGTACCTCCCGATATTCGGTATTTTCAAGATTTTAGCGACGTTATTTACCGGAATTATTTAAAGTTTCCTATTTGAAGTTCGTAATGTGTACTACAGCTTATGACAAAAATTTTTGTATGCAGGTCCAAGTCTTGGTATAGCCTCCATATAACGGTACCTCCCAATATTCGGTATTTTGATGATTTCAGCAATATTATTCACCGGAAGATCTTAATAGTGTATTTTCATGATTTTTGCTACATTATTCACCGTAATTGTAACAAATTTCGTATTTGAAGTTCGTAATGGGCACTACAGCCTTTGACAAAAAATTTCGTATTAGGGACCACGTCTTTATATGGGACTTTCATTTAAGTGGTAGTTTTCGGATTTTTTTTAATTTTTCAATTTCCTTCGAAATGGTGGAGGGTATTAAAAGTTCGGCCCGGCCGAACTTAGCTGCTTTTTTACTTGTTCGTAGTGCTTTCTTGCAGTCAAGAATGGCCTAAAGACGCTATAATTGTCATTTATTTTATTTTATTCATTTAGGGATTCTGTGTGTATTTTCAGACTATCCAGAGGAGAATCAATAAAGCTGACCCAAGATTTACGTTAAGCCTTCTATAACTATTTTTTTTACTTCTTGCAGTCAGCCTTATATGCATTCCAATCAATGCTAAGTACCTCCTTGTTATTTTACGAAGAATAGCAAGGTTTTTATTCCACCAAACCGGCTGGGATATTATCTTAGTGTAGATAATTGGCCAAGATTTCCCATAGCTTAAAAGTAGAACATTTTTGATATCATTCACAGCTCTCTCAACATTGATTGTCATTGATTCATTGCAAACCTCCAGGATTTATTTTTATAGCCCAAAACGAGATAGACCCAAAGTTACTTTTGAGGATCCTCATAGAATCACTTTCTGAATCGATTTATGGATGTCTTTCCTTCTGTCGGTCCATGTATTATTCTGAACCATATGTATTGGGCGCCATATGTATTATATTAATCCACATACGATGCATTTCGGCAGATCCGACTGATTTCAATCTAGAAGCACTTACTTCGATATTCTAATATTATTATTAAGAACAAAGCAGCTAAGAACAAAGCAGCTAAGAACAAAGCAGCTACCATTTGAACAGAACTAGCAGAATGTAAAACTGTCAGGAAAAGTCAAAAGTCGGGTGGGCCGACTATATGATACCCTACACCACTGTGCATATTTAGTAGAGCTCCCGTAGCAAAAGAATTTATTTCAAGTAGATCATACCATTAACATTTGGCTTAAGAGCAGTTATAGTTTGCTATAGAGTGCTTGATATCACTCCGAGAAGGATTATATTAAAAAAAAATATATATCGGAGCCGAGTTGTAAAAATGGAAAGGTATGTCCCGAAATTCACTCCATTTGGGCTGATATTAGCCATTATTCCCACAATAAACCTGAAATCTGCTTAAGGATATATATCTTGGCCGTTCTCGATGAAATTTGGCAAAGCTATTTCCGAGCTTTATAAGATATCTGGTACCAAATATCATTGTTGTCGAATGCATATTACAGATGTGAGGGACTTAAACACCGAATCGGATGAAACATATATATGGGAGCTATAGCTATATCTGAACCGATTTACACTAAATGTGAAATACTGATTTATATGATGATTTCAGTCGTAATTGCCAAGATTCGGTCCATTTGGGCTGATATTAGCCATCTGGTGCACAATAAACCTGATATTGGATAAAGATATATATGGGAGCTATATCCTTATCTGAACCCGGTATCGGCTATTGTATAGGGTTCGCCCTTGTTTGCAGAAATTTATCTCAATCGGATAATAAATTCGACATGCATGTTGTTCACAAGAATACATGGACGGACAGACGGTCTGACATGAATAAATAGACTCAGAAAGTGGTTCTATAAATATCCTCAAAAATAACTATGGGTCTATCTCGCTTCCTTCTCCCTGTTACAAACAAATGCACAAAGACGTGCTGTAGGGTATAACAAGTTTCCGCACATCTGAAAGTTTTTCTAAGATTTATAGAATTGGTTAAATTTTTCTATGGCATATTCTCAAAGTTTATGTATTGGATAATATTTTCTTACAGATTTTCAGAGAGCAAGATATATGTCCAATCACAAGTCATGGACCTTTCTTGAAAAATTTTACAAGGGTGGGTATAAATACCATTATTAACTCCGTGTGACAGATTGCGGAAATTCCCTTAAGAAACAAGTGAGAAGAACCTTCAAAATACCTCTAAGTTTTTAAATGGGAGATTGAGAACTCAAAACATAGTGAGAGTATTACTAGAGCAAAACTTTAACCACATTATGCAATGTTTGCGAGAAGGCCAGATATCTTTATAGGTACTCGAAATGCAAAAAAAAAAAAAAGGATAGTGACGTTGCATGGGCCAATATCTAAGAATTCCTGGCTAACAATTATTATCAACAGTAATCAAGCGGTGTACGAAACCGTCCCTATGAATTGTTAAACTGTTAAAAATCACTTAATTTAATTTTATTTGTATACAACTCTTTCGAAATAAACAAAATACTTTTTTAGCTCTTTTTTACAAGATTTAACATGGAATAAATGCTTAAAGTTTATTTAATTTATTTTGGTTAATTTATTTATATAATTTTTAATATCAATATCATAATAACATCTGTAATTTATTGTTGATGTCACACTTACAGACCGAAACTCTCAATCCATTCGAGAATGATAATGGACAACTATTCACATCCTGTGGCTTGGACAGCAAATTGTTGGACGACATCGATTTGGCCAGCCTAACATCATCGACCACAGATGACCCGGTGCAGGAACTCTCGGATCTACGAAGACAGGTGGTTTACCTTCAGGTATTTGCACGTTATTTGGTATTTAGTTTTCTGTTGCTTAATTTTGACTGCCAACACGTTGAGTTTATGTGTTTTTTGAAAACCTACTTATTTCAATTCGACCAATAATTTATATAAATATCCCACAAAAAAAGAAAAAAAAAACAATTGAAGCCAATCAATAACAATATCATAACAAATCAAAGGTTAGTTTTCTATGACAGAAGTCTTTAGTTGCTGTTACAAAACGTTGTGTGTATTTTCAGTTTGGCAAGGTAACATTTTGTTATATATAGAGTACATATTTTAAATTGAACACAATTAATTGAAATTATTGGCGAACATTGATATTGTGTTTGAAAAAAAAAAAAAAAATTAGGAAACCAAAAACGAGAACCAAATTCGAATGTAGTTTTTTTTTTTTTGTAAAGCATGTTCCCTATACATAAATAAATATATTTAAACTTTTAAAATATTTTCAAACCTTTTTCTTACAAGTTTATATTTTTAAATGGCGTTTTAGATAAACTTATTTTGTGGCTTCTTGTTTATTAGTTTTTTTTTCTTATTATAAAATGTATTCGTATGAAATCAGAAGAAAAAAAATCCTTATCATTTAGAAGTTTTTCTTTTATGAATTAACCTCCTCAAGTCACATCATATCGAATAAGACATACTTTTCGGACAAAGAGTAATAACTGGGACATTACTCAAGGTTCCTATAATTATCACAATTGTTAAGGTTGCATCGAATTTTGTTTTCCCCATGTGCCTTATCTCCCAAAAATACCTAATCGAAATAACAGATTGAAATCCGTGTCAGGACATTTGAAGTTGTCTTTCTGTGTCTCTGCTGTATCCGCTTTGGTCCGAACTTAGTACATCGCAATATTATAATCAAACTTAGATCGAATTCGAAGTCAAATAATATCGACCGTTTCCTTCTCTTAACTCTGTAATAAATGTTCAAGATTTTCAAAAATCAAATATCTTTTAAAAAGTGAAGGGAGCATCGGAAAAGGCTGGACCTAAGAACATCGTAATATTTGTATGAGAAAATAGACAAAATCTGCTTAATCTGTCTCCCTCTTGAAGGGGTAAACAATTTACTTATCAAAACTGTCATGAAATGCAGAAATACACCGATTGCTCTTGAATTTCTCCAGGAAAAGGATAATTTCTCCAGGATAGGAACGGTATGAAATTCAGAATTTCATATAAGGCGAATGGAGTCCAAGACTACGAACAAAGTTTGCACAGCGTCATATTTGTATAAAATTTAGTTCAGGTGGAAAAATTTAAAATATCGGTCCACTTTTTCTGGTTGTACCTACAACGGGACACAATTTTTAATTGTCATAAAATGTGAAAACGTTACGGATTTTTTTCCAAACTTCGCAAATTAAAATGTTTCAGTTAAGTGTATCCCCTCTGCTATAAACGGACAACACTTTGAAATATCCTAAATCACAAAATGGAATTTCTGAACTGATCTAATATTCAATATTTCAATCAAATTTTCATAAGGCTCAAAACGGAAAACATATTCCAATTTCTTTCGCTACGCCCCCTAAAAATGTCATGGATCACGTATTTCGTTTTGTATTGACATATTCGCCTGGAATGTCATAGGCTGAAGGTTTATATCACAGCTTATATTAGTTCAATTTTACTCGCGAGTAAAAAGAATTCGCTAGCGAAAATGCTCGTAGAGTACCTGTTTTAGAGGAATTGTACCCTCTATACTTTTGTTTTATAGGACAGCACTCGAGAGTATTCTTCCTTGGGATTCAAAATGTTCGAAAAAGAGTAAGAGTTTACTCTAAGAGTGTGTGAGTAGAAGATCGACTTCGAGAGAATACTCGGTCTTAATCGAATGGTAAAGAAAAAGAGAGCATTCTCGATCATTTTTTTTCTTGTTCGCGGGAGTACTCCCGCTCGAATTCGAGTAGAGAATGAAGCTCGTCTTCACATTTCGGAGCTCTTACTTATATCTGTCGGCAAACCGGCATATACTTTCCAACTTTCTAGTTGAGTTTCAGAATCTGCAATATAAAAGGTCTACAAACTAACTTTTTTTTTGGAAAATTCAGAAAAAAGGACTATTTAATATTTTTTCAAAATCCTTTTCATATCCTCAACCAAATGGCTACATAGGGTATATATCATTTGGTACGGCCAAAACGAAATTTTCGAAAAAATATTTTACTGCACAGAAAAAGCAAGGATAATCGGATTTTGCCCTAACCTTGCAAATCTTAATATTTGTATCAGTTCTTGGTCAGGTGCGAAAATGGTCCACTGCAATATGTACGTCCCACACAGAGGGTCAAAATTTCGAATAATTATAATTTATATAAAATGTGTTGTAAGAGTCCGATTTTTTTCAAATTACATACATCACAATATTTTTATTAACCCAAGGTCTGGTTTAAAGATGGAATATATTGGTTCACTCTTTCTGGTACCACCCCCAACAAAGGGTCACAACTTTGAATATCCAAGAAGCTAATAAAACTCCAAAATTACATCCGATCCCATTCAGACTTGGCACATCTTAATATTTCTATCAACACAAGATCTGCCATAAAGATGGTCGCACTATTCCCTCTGGTACCTCACCCACAGAGGGTCAAAGTTTTGAATAGCCACAGCGATTATAAAATCTGAAATAAGTATCCGGTTCACTTTATATTTCACTCATCCCATTATTGCTACTAACACAAGATCTGTTGTGAAGATGGGATATATTGGTCCACTCTTTCTGGAACCTCCCCACGCAGGGCCATGAAGATCATAAAACGCGAAATGGTACAGTTCAATATTTTCATTAACCTGAGATCTTTCACACATCCCACTATTTTTTGTGTTAGATTTGTTATAAATCGGACCATTTCTTCTGGTACCTCCCTCACATAGGCTTCAAGATTTTAAAAAAACAAAACGCTCAAAGAAAGCGAAATAAACATCCAACTTTCTTCAAAATGCACACATCCAAACATTTTTGAATACGCAAGATCTGTTGTGAAGATTATAAATATCTGCCAACCCCTTCTGGTACCTCCACCACAAAGCGTCACAATTTTCAAAACTTTTACCAGCCATATCTTGCGAAATAAGTCAGCGATTCTGTAGAAATTGCTATATCTAAATATATCTCTCAACCAGAAACCTGAGATGAATATGGAATTTATGATTTCGCATAAAATTTTACATAAATATTCGATTTTCTTGTAATTTTGCCCACACCAACATTTTTATCTGTATTTGATGAAGTATGCAAATGGAATACTTCGGTCTGGTACCTCACGCACATTTTAACATTGGGAGTGGGAGTCTGGGATCGAGTGGGATTTGCTCAATTTCGAGTAACATAGTTTTTTTTCTATTCTTAAAAATTATACACAAAAGTTTGTATTAGCCAGGATATCGGTATGAATTTTGAAGAATGAAATGTGTGTTTTCAGTACTGGAACCTTGTAAATTTATGGAGTGATACACTAAGAGCCGGGGAACAACTTCTAAAACTATTAAAAAAACAATTGATGAATCAGTTTGATCGATTTTGTATATTTTTGAAACAGAAAATAGAAATTTTGAAATTTTAATTGCCTATAAATACACAAATACCAACACATACATAGAATGTATAGTAAATCCGTTTATATTTAATTTATAGATTCAATTTAAGAAAAATTATATATATTCATACATTATACAAATGTAGCATAAACCTATGGAAGACATACACTTGCTCACCGTTAATGTTGGACAATTGAATATATTAAAAAAATAAAAATATATTATCTTTTTAATTTACCTCTACCAATCCACTTTCTTCTTCTACCATACATACCAAGTTCATTGAAATTGATAACAGCTAATTTGAAGTAATAAATATTTTATTGTTTTTTTTTTTCTCAATCATTGCACATTATTCCGCCATATTCGGATCATTAAACTGTTAAACATGGATCGGCAACAGGGTCAAGTTGATGATCGTGATCGCACAATACGTTTGCAGAAAAATCTCATTGAACAGCTGGAGGCGGAAAAACATAAAACGGCTCCAACTAGTGTTGAAGCGCCAAAGGAATGTGTTACCACGGCAACTCAAACTGAAAGGGTATGTGTATCTGTGTGTGTGTGTGTGTTTGTATGGAATTATTTTATTTAATTGAGAAAACGAAATCTAATCTTTTTCTTTGCAGACTCGTCCTTTGTCGATTGGCATGGAGGGTTTATCGAGGTAATATGGATAGTCTTTTAATATTTGTTAGTTAATTATTTAGTTTTTTATCCTGGTTTAATTTTTTCATTATTTCTTAAATTATAAAACTTAGCTTTATCAGTTCCTTCTTATTGATTTGATAAGCTCTCGGCTTGTGAACATGTAATCTGTACATATAAATTCACCAATTTTAATTTAAATACTTATCATTTGGAGTCATATTTCTTCGTACTCTATCCAATAGAATTACATTTAAAAAGGTCCATTTTTATTAAAAGATTTATCAGCCAACACCTTAAAATACCAATTTTTTTTTTGACTTGATCAGGTAAATGCTGATTTTTCTCCACTTTCTCTTTCCCCACAAATAAACAAACTATGTTCTTATAAAACAAAACGACAATAATGGGATTAAACCTGACTATATTTATAATAACAATTAAAAAACAAGTTAAAACCAGTAAAGATAGTCCTAAAGTCGGGCGGGGCCGATTTTATGATACCCAACACCACTTTGCTAATTTAGTTGAGCACCACTTAATAATTAAAAGTTTTTATGGGAGAATTCAATCATACACACTATGATTATAATTATAATTTAAAATTCAAAGGACTAAATATGCCGAAGCATCTGTATCTTTTAAATTCGGACTTGTATTGCCAATTTGGTGCGAAATTAATTTGAAATCGGATAAAAATATATATGGGAACTATATCCAAATCTGAACCGATATCGATAAAATTTGGCAAAGATATTTCTGAGCTGTATTTGATATATATTTTCCTGAATATCGTTGTTACGGAGTGCATATTACGGCTGTGGGTAACAAATACAATAAAACGGATGAACAATATATATGGGAGCTATAACTATATCTGAACCGATCTTCACCAAATTTGGCATGCCAGCTTCTAGACTAAATTCGGTCCAAAGTGCCAAATTCCATCCCATTTGGACAAATATTAGACGTTTGGTGCACAATATAAGGTAAATCGGACGAAGTTATATATGGGAGCTATATCCAAATCTGAACCGATCTCGATAAAATTTAGCACAGGTATTTCTGAGCTGCATTTGATATATTTCCCCAAATATTGTTGTTACAGAGTGCATATTACGGCTGCGGAGGAGCTATAGCTATATCTGAACCGATTTTGATAAAATTTGGCATACTTATTTTCAGGCCTAATTTGGTTGTTTGTGCAAAATTCCATACTATTCGGGCTGATATTACACGTTTGGTGCACAATAAAAGGCAAATCGGACGAAGATATATATGGGTGCTATATCTAAATTTGTACCGATTATCTCCAATGTCAATAGGGTTCGTCCTTGGGCCAAACAAATGTTGTTTGCAAAATTTCATCTCAATCGGATAATAAATGCGACCTGCATTTTGTTCACAAGAGTACATGGACAGACGGACGAACGGACGGACAGACGGACTGACATGCATAAACCAACTCAGAAAGTGATTCTATGCAGATCATCAAAAGGAACTATGGGTCTATCTCGTTTCCTTTTGTCTGTTACAAACAAATGCACAAAGACATAATACCCTGACCACCTTGTGGTGTAGGGTATAAACATTAAGTTCGGCCGGGCCAAACTTTTAATACCCTCCACAAAGAACATTAGAAGAAATGTGGCAAAAATCATTAAAATGCCGAATATCGGGAGGTACCGTTATATGAGGGCTATACCAAATCGTGGACCTACACATGCAATGTTTCGCTAAAGGAGCTAGAACCCATTATGACCTACAAATACCAATTTTCAGACAAATCCGTGAAAAAATGTGGCAAAAATCATCAAATTACCGAACATCGGGAGGTACCGTTATATGGGGGTTTTACCAAAACGTGGACCTATAATTACAATGACTCGCCACGCGAACTAGGACCCATTATGACCTACAAATACCAATTTTCAGACAAATCCGTAAAAAATTGTGGCATAAATCATCAAAATACCGAATATCGGGAGGTACCGTTATATGGGGACTATACCAGAACGTGGACCGATATATCTTATTTTCAATACCAACCATCCTAGACACAATACAAATTGTTTTGCTAAATTTTGGCGCTCTACGTCAAATAATGTGGGCTGTATCGTGATTTCAACAGACAAACGGACATCGTTAAATCGACTTAGAATTTTATGCTGATTATGAACATGTATACTTTATAGGGTCTACGGCGAATATTTAAGGATGTTACAAACGGAATGACAAAGTTAATATACCCTCCTTTCCAAGGTGGAGGGTATAATAAATATATAAATAAATAAACAAGTAAGCAAAGGCTATAGACGGCGGGGCCGGCCATGTGATACCCTACAACACTAAAATATGTTAGAAGCCCCATTATGTAAAAGTCCATTTTGGAAGATTTCGCTTTTGAAATTATGCCACGGAACACTGCCCAGATATTACCCTTAGCTTTTTGACCAGGGACATTTGCCCAATATTTACGCACTCCGTCGTGCAGGTAGTTGTTGTGGTCCATTTTACAGCTAATTATAATCCAATGGTCATCCAAAATGCCAGAATTCTTCCCTGTCCTTAACTCTCTGCTCAGGCGTGTCGATTGGCTTCAATTGTGTGATCAGGACATTTTTTCTGTTTTTGGTTCATTTGAACCCCTAAATATTTTGCAATTATCTCCAATCTTCTGTATCTCCAAATTTAGACTCATCTATATTATTTGCTTGTCTACAATGTTTGGCTATATTCTTCAACGAAATCAGCATAAAAAGCCAGAAGTTCGCCTTTAAGTGTATTTTGCATATCGCCTGTGGTAGAAAGGGAATGTTGGTATTTTTCCACCCAAGGTAGTGGTCCATTCTTCTCGCTGTCCTAACTTTAACTTCATGCGAGATTTTTGTCCTTTGGTTTCTATTTGTGACCTTCATAACGGCTGCAAAATCAGGAACATTTTTGGTTTTTGGTCCATTTCAACCCCCAAATATATTTTGCTGACACCTTTGAAAACAATAGCCCTAGCCCTTCTGATCATAACTCTAGCCTTGTGAAAATGTTCGTGAAGATCGGACGATAATTGCAATCTGTATATAATAACCCCTTCCTGCGTTGTAAGGTGAAAAAATATTACAAAACATACACTTCAATATTATAACTCAAATTAAAACAAGTAAGCAAAGGCTACAGTCGAGCGGGGCCGACCGTTGAATACCCTACAACACTATAATAAACGATACAGTTTATATAGGCGAGATACTCGAAAGAATTCCAGAAGATATTGTGACAAATAATAAAAGAAAACCATCAGGTTTCGTTCTCTAATTTTCGAATAGTAGCAACTTAAACTAATTTGCTTACTTCCAATTTATTGGTAGATGTTGCACTTAAATGGTCTTTCTAGATCTGGAACCAATATTTCCCAAAGACCTATAATCTCTCAGAAGTGGCAAAAGATTAACATTTATTATTGGTTTTTGACTGAAACGCATCTATATGAGATACAGACATTTGACTATATTCTTCAACGAAATAGTCAGAAGTGCGTCTTCCCTGTATTTTTGAATTCTCCAAAAAAGTCACTGGAATGGACATTTTCCTATTTTGTCTACAAAAGTTGGCAAACTCCTTCACACATTGAATATTTTTGGATGGCCATCCAAAACTGATTGGCTTTTGCAATGTCCGGTAACCCCCATAATTACGACCTGCTGATAATTTTGCAGTTTTTTGGTCCATTTCAACCCCTAAATATATGGCGATCATCTCCAAAAAGAATAGGCTTTTATTCTGACCCTCATCTTATCTCCATGCAAAATTTCGTAAGGATCGGGCCATAAATGCGATCTGTATATGATATCCTGATATCCTAACTACTTAGTTTTGTTAGCTATAGAAATATTACCAAATGTTTAATTCAAAATGAAAATATGTCAAAAATATGAAAAAATTGAAAAAATATGAGAAAATTTTACAAAATCAATATTTCATCTTTAGAGAGATATTTTTATGCGATTTTTTAGACGTTTTTTCTTTCCTGCCAATAGGCCATTCTGAATTAATGATAACTGTCGAAATCAGTTCAGCCGTTCTCGATATATAAGAGATTTTTCAAGCATATCTTCTTTGATAAACATATATCGCACATATTTTGTTATATATCCGTTTTGTTGGATGTTAACATCAATGTAAAGATCAGAAGTAACCTTATCATGGCTTTGTGATTTCGCCGAGATTTAAAATATTCGCGGTTTAATGAAAAATTTTGAATTTTTTCAACAAAAAAGATATGGTCTATTTTACCCGCTAAATATTATCCGATGACCACCTAAAGGGGTAGGCTTTTTGCCAGCCCTAAACTCTAGCTACATGCGAAATTCCGCGTCGATTGGTCTATAATTGCGACCTGTAGAGAAAGTGCAAAATCAGGAATTTTTTCAGTTTTTGGTCCATTTCAACCCCTAAATATTATGCGATCATCACCAAAAGAAATAGGGTTCTATTCTGACCCAAGCCCCACCTCCATTTTAAATTTCGTGAAGATCGGACCATAATTGCGACCTGTAGAGTGATTACAAATTAACATGGACAGACGGACAGACGGACAGACGGACGGACGGACATACATAGCTAGATCGACTCAGCTCGGCGAGATAGGAAGATCCATATATACTTTCCTATGTGGGAAATCAATATTTCGTGGTGTTACATAATTTTTGACCCAATCAAACTTATAATACCCCCAACTCATAGTGTTGTAGGGTATAAAAATCGCATGCGATAAAAAATATAAAAAAATCACAAAATAAAAAAACTGAAATAAAAAAACTATATTTGCATCATTGTTGTTATATTTTTGTGCGGATTTTTTTTTTTGGATCTTATTATTTTATGCCAACAGGGCATTCTGAATTGACAAAATTTGTCAAAATTGGCCCAGCCATTATTGTATATACACATTGCATATATTTCGCTATATATATTCAATATATTTACTATCGGCATCTATGAAACGGTCAGAATTGACCTTTTCATCTATTTGTGATTTCGCCAGGATTAAAAATATTCGCAGTTTAATGAAAAATTTGACATTTGTTTAACACTAATGTTATGGTCAATTTCACCCACTAAATATTTCCCGATGACCATCCAAATTGGAAGGCTTCTGCCAGCCCTAAGCTCTAGCCCCATGCTAACTTCCGCGTTGATTGGGCTATAATTGCGACCTGCAGAGCAACTGCAACATCAGGAAAAAATGCGGATCGGGCCGTAATTGCAAACTGTAGCGTGATTACAAATTAACAAGGGCAGACGGACGGACGGGCATACATAGCTAGATTGACTCAGCTCGGCGAGCTAGGAAGATCCATATTTACTTTCCTATTTGGGAAACCAATATTTCGAAGTGTTTCATAATTTTTGCCAACCAAGCTTATAATACCCCCAACCCATAGTGTTGTAGGGTATAAATATATAGTTAATTTCAACAGGTGAACAAATTCTTTAGGGCGCATCAGACTTGAGTACCGCTATTTTCTAAGAATTATGTAAAACATAATAAACGACTTACCAACTTCCATCCGATTTTCATAATCCAAAAAAAAAATATGCAAACCCACATTGTATACAAAGTTTAAATCATTTTGAAGATGCATGTTCACAGTTTAGCGAAGAGCTTAAAGTTTATGTAAATATTATTTATGCATCTGCATTTACTATATTACTTTATTTTGTTTATTAATTTGATATTTCTTTTGTTTAGTTTAATAACATTTCTTTTATTTTTTTTAGTATATTTCTTATTTATTTATTTCTATGCCTTGCAAATAAGTTATTACTTCTATATTTATATAACTGCTAACACTTAAACATTCTCTTTCCTCTATTTTTGGTTAAAAAAAAAAAACAAAACAATTATGTAAAACAATCGAAAAACTTTTAATCCATATAAAATTTATAACAAAACAAACTGACCGTAATCCTATCGAAACACACAAAACATAGACTACAACAATTTGGAGAACAAAAGGTATTCTACTGTGATTTTTTCTTGGCTGTAATATTGTTATGTGCAATTAACCTTATCTGTATACTACATCTAACCTATACGTGTACTCACAACTGTCCCTCATGATTAAATTAGATTAAGAACATTATTGTTATTAACTATAGACTTAACAGATTTGTGATAGCTTTAATTTATACCGTTGAACAACAATTGATTTGCGAGGCGAACAAAAGTTAATTGTATATTAAATAGAAATTTTAACATTTATTTAAACATGTATTAGTTATTATTAAATATATATTATGTTAGTTGTTCTCGATTGCTTCCAACCAGTATTCAATTTTTCGTTCCCATACATTCTTGGCAGCATATTTTAATAGGGGTCATGGACGAATCCGGGGAATGTGATTTGTTTTATTTTTTCGGAACAGTAGGATGTTTTATTTCAATGATTTTTTTATTACTATCAACTAGAATCCCATGTCAAATCAATTGTTGTTATTCAATATGCCTAAGCTTTAATAGTTCATATTGTACAGTTATTTGTCCTAATAATATACATTAACAACAACAACAACACAAACAAAAATCGTATTCATATGTATTTAAAAATTTTGATTGCATGCTGCAAATAAAATATAGAAATTTGAGGTAAATTTCCAATATTTTTATCTAATTGAATACATATTAACAAGATAATTAAATGTGTGTGTGTTTGTGTGCAATAAGAGAGCATGCAATTAAATGTATTAAGATTCCATTGCCCACTGTCATTTCCCCTTAAAAAAATAAGAGAAAACACCAAATCTTGTTGTATTAGTGTTTATTAATTATTGCAATGATGCAAAATGTATTAATAATAACAATTTTCTTCTTTTTTAATTTTTTTTTTGTCATTTCTATTTGAATTTAGAAGTAAGCCGGAATATACCAGTTATACAACATATTTTCCGGCCCTCAATGGCACAACGGTCATCCAGCAACAACATCATAATTCTGGGCAACAAAATCCTGGTAATATGACACAAAATAATAACAATAATAATCAAACTCGACGTCATACTGTTATTTCGACCACATTATCGAATTATAATCAACAAATGTTTTCACAACCAACCATTATGAATTCGAACAAAGTTCCAGAGCGTCGGGCATCGATTGCATGGGACAAACCAATTGCACCCTCATATAAACCTGTGAAAATTACTTTAATTGGCGATCCTTTGAAACAGTGGAGCAGTAGTGGCTGTGTCAATAAGTCACAACCAAAATGCGAAGAAGAAGAAGAAAATGTCAAGAATTGTAATAGTAGTAATGGCCAACAAAAACAGCGGGAGTATCATGAAAAACAGTATGAAGAAATAAGCAAAAACACCCTAATAAATGGGAAATGCAAAAGCGAAGACTGTCGTCCAGTAAATACTCATAGTTCTAAACCGTTACAGGATATTGTGAAAGCCAATGAATTGTTTAGCCAGACAACATCTGTGCCGCCTATTCAGCATCAGCTAAAATACCAGCAGCATCCGTATCATCAGCATCATAATCATGCACAGCAGCAGCATCATCATCATCATTCACATTCACATCATCACAATAATCATAAACCAACAGTTACTATAGTTTAGTTTTCAACAACAACAAGAACAACAATTATGATTATTCTAATTAAATGGACAACACTTATTGTTATTAAATCAACGCACACAATTATGAAAAAGAACTATATATTTTCGCATAAAAACTAAACACAGATTCTGGTATCTGTAACAACACACACACAAACAACAATAACAACAAGCATAATAGTAACAACCTGTTAATTCGCCTTTAAACAAACATGCAAAACCAAAAACCCCGTTATGTACAATATATAAATCCTACCCAAACTCTCATTAACCTTTTCTATCTTTAAAAAATGAATCTTTGCTAAAATGAAGAGAAAAACAAAACAACAATAACATTCATCGCCTTCATGAAAATAAAGAACAACAACAAAACTTCGACAAACATACAATATTTTTTCAAATCATAGCTGAAAGGTGGAAAAAACCAACGCAAATTCAGATATAAAACAAAGCAAATGCAAAAAGTATTATCAAAATTATTATTATATAAATAATTATTATATACAAAATATATACGGACATGCAAACATACATACAATACAAAAAAAAAAAGAAACTCTACTACTTAAGTATTACTAAATGTATACAGAGTGTTCCAAAAAGGTGTGGATGGAAATGAAGTGATTACCCAGAGAAAGACACATAACTTATTCTGTGAAAATTGAAAATGAAATCATTCAAAGAATGTCAAAGGGAGATTTTATAAAGAAAGATCAAAGTTTCCATTTCATGGTAGAAGAATCTAGCTCCTGGTTTGTTAAGCCATTTAATATTCCCTTTTGTGTGGATACCCAGCAAAAATCCCACTACGAAATATCGGATTTTCCCATTACCAAATAATTGAAAAATCAACCTTCATTTCATATTTTCATAACAAAAAAATCCTAGGTCCTGGTTTGCTAAGCCATTTAATATTCCATGTTGTCTGGATACCCAGCAAAAATCTTATTACCAAATAATGGATTTTTCCATTACTAAATAATGGATTAACTCATTACCAAATAAGTGAAAAATCAACCTTCATTTCATATTTTCATAGCAAAGAAATCTAGCTCCTGATCTGTTAAGTTCTTTTAAAATTCCCTGTTGTCTGGATAACCAACAAAAATCCCATTACCAAATAATGGGTTTTTCCATTACCAAATAATGGATTTTTTCATTACCAAATAATTGAAAAATTAACCTTCATTTCATATTTTCATAGTACAAGAATCTATCTCCTGGTTTGTTAAGCCATTCAATACTCCCTGTTGTCTGGATACCCAGCAAAAATCCCATTACCAAATAATGGGTTTTTCCATTACCAAATAATGGATTTTCCCATTACCAAATAATGGATTTTCCCATTAACAAGTAATTGAAAAAAAGGTCTTCATTTCATATTTTTGTAGTACTGGTTTGTTAAGCCATTAAACATTCCCGTTTGTTTGGATACCTAGCAAAAATCCCATTACGAAATAATGGATTTTTCCATTACCAAATAATGGATTAACCTATTACCAATAATTGGAAAATCAACCATAATTTCATATTTTCATAACAAAAAAAAAACCTAGCTCCTGGTTTGTTAAGCCATTTAATATTCCATGTTGTCTGAATACCTAAAAAATGCCATTACCAAATAATGAGTTTTCCCATTACCAAATAATTGAAAATCAACCTTCATTTCATATCTTCATAGTACAAGAATCTGGTTTGTTAAGCCATTTTATATTCCCCGTTATCTGGATACCCAGCAAAAAAACCATTACCAAATAATGGAAAAATCAACCTATTAATCCATTATTTTTACAAAGACATGTCACCTGAAATAAGTAATTATTCTGCCACTTATAGCCGACAAATAAGTTGAATGAAGTATTCGTTTAGTTTTGATACCATCAGCCATATGATATAATATGGCCAATACGTGGCTCATTGAAATAATGGCTTTGAAACCTAGGACTCCTTGGACAAAATTCGTTCCAGGGCATTTGTAGCCGATCCGATTTGATTCAAACGTGGTACATCGTAATATCATTATCAAACTTAGATTGAGTTCGGAGATGGATAATATCGGTCCACTCCTTCTGCTACCTCACACATAAGAGGTCAACATTTTAGAAGAAAGAATTAACCTCATAAAAAAGAAAGGATTATCAGATTTTGTTCAGAGATGGGCAATACCGAGAACGAATTATTAGATTTTCTTGGAAAATGCTAAGATTGTCAGGTATGAAAATGGGCAATATCGGCCCTCTCCTTCGCCGAAATTTTAAACAATCACAACTTTTATAAAATGTGGAATAAAATACCCAAATAAACCTTAAATCTGTCGGTATATTTATCATTTTCAATACTAAACTACAACACAGCTGAGTAAAATTTCAACCACCTACTTCACTTGGTTCGGAAGCTAAGGAAGTGAATGAAAGTAGTCGGTATAGCCCAATCCTGGTACGTCGCAATATTTATATCAGACTTAGGTCAGATGTGAAATGGACAATATTGGCCCACTCCTTCGGTACCTTCACTATAAAGGGTCCACATTTACAATAATCATAAGGCATGCCAAAAATATTATAATAAACTGACTTAGGTATGTATACTCTCGACAGGTACTTTTTAACTTATTTCAATCTTCTTTTCTACTTTTTTTGCCTGCTGCTGGTATTGAAGTCAATCTTCTGATTTGTTATTAAACGTGGAATTATATATTTTACACGATCTACAAAGTTTAGCTTCAAAGCGGACTTCTTTCATCTATGACTGAATTTTGGTAAACAGGGTTCAATTAAATATTTTTTGAAGGCTCTCCAGGATTTCGACATAGCCTAAATATTATACAAATGCCCCATAAACTCAGCATTTTCTTTTTAAATAATTCCTCAGTGATCTTCCTCTGAATTACACTTTATTTGGGTCCTCTGAATTTGGAACACTCTGAAATGTTGTTGTAGTAATAGTCAGTCGTATTTGTAGCATGAAAAACTAATCTAAATGTAAACTACCAATGTCAAACAACAACATTTATAAACTGAAATCGTATGTATGTGAATGATGAAGGGACATTTATACAAACACAAATGTGAAAGAAAAAAAATAAAAATAATACTGGAGAACAAAATGAGAAGAAGAACAAATATTTGAAATACAAATGCAGGTCAACCAAACTCGCACAAAACTTATTCCGGTCAACATCTTTATTTCCATTCACAATGAACTGCTATAAATATCGAATATATTTTTTCCCAATGTAGATAGTAAAAAATGCGTATAATAAATCGGGAATATATTTTCAAACCATTCGGAAAATTGTCAATCTATATATAAACTTATCCAACAATGTCGATTGTTTGTCCACCAATGTTGAAAATGTATCCAGTAAGGCGAATAATGTATTTGCTAACGCAAAAGTCCCTATTTACCAACCAGGGTAACTTATCCACCAACCTGTATAATTTATCCACCAACCTGGATAATATATCCACCTACATGCATACGAATGTGGAAAATTTATCCGACAATATGAATTTATAAACAAATATCGATAATATTTATCCAATATGGATAAATTAAACATTACCGTGGGTACTGTATCCACAAACGTGGATTAATCATCCAAAAATGTGACAAATACATCCACCAACGAATAAAATTTATCCACAAACGTGTATAATTTATACAAAGACTTTCATAATTTATCCAAAAACGTAGATAACTTATCGTAGAACATGGATGACTTATCCACAAACGTGAATAGTTTACCTACTAACGTGGATACTGTTCGTGGATGATGTATCCTCCAACGTGAATAATATATCCACCAACGTGGATACTTCTTCTCCAACATGGACAACGTATTCACCAACGTGGATATTTTTTTATCCACCATCGTGGGTAATATATCCAGCAACGTGTATAATTTATCCACCAAATTGGATAATTTATCCACCAAATTGGATAATTTTTCCGCAAACGTGGATAATTTATACAAAAATGTTCATAATTTATCAAAAAACGTATCGTGGGTAATTTATCCATCAACGTGGATAATTTATCTAACATCATGGATAATTTATCCACCATCGTGGATAAGTAATCCACCATCGTGGGTAATTTATCCAGCAACGTGTATACATTTTCCACCATCATGGGTAATTTATAAACAAATGCGGATAATGTATCAACGAACGTAGATTATGTATCCACCAATGTGGATAATAATGAGGATAATTTATCCACCTACATTGATAGTTGATCCAGAAACCTGGAAAATTAATACACTAATCTAAATAATTTATCCACTAACGTGTATAAGTTATCCACTACCATGGATAATTTACGACAACCACCAACTTGGATAATTTTTATACCCTCCACCATTCTATGGAGGATATATTAACTTTGTCAATCCATTTGTAACTCCTCGAAATATTTATAATAGACCCTACAAAGTATATATATTCTGGATCAGCGTAAAATTCTAAGACGATCTAGTGATGTCCGTCTGTCTGTCTGTTGTAATCACGCTATCTTTCGAACGAATTGAGATTGAAGGCTAAAATTTTGCATACATGCATAGTTTACTAGTAGACAGGTTAAGTTCGTAAATGGGGCATGTCGGTCCACGTTTTCGTATCGGTACCTCGCGATATTCGACATTTTCATGATTTTAGCGACATTATTTACCGGAATTACTTCGAATTTCGTATTTGAAGTTCGTAATGGGTACTACAGCCTACGTATAGCCTTCATATAACGATACCTCCCGATATTCGGTATCTTAATGATTTCAGCAACATTATTCACCGAAATCGTTTCAAATTTCATACTGGAAGATCCCAATGGGTACTACAGCCTATAGCAAAAATTGTGTATGCAGGTTCAGATCTTCGTATAGCCCCCATATAACGGTACCTGCCGATATTCGGTATTTTCATGATTTTAGCGACATTATTTACCGGAATTATTTCAAATTTCGTATTTGAAGTTCGTCTTCGTATAGCCCCCATATAACGATACCTCTTGATAGTCGGTATTTTAATGATTTCAGCAACATTATTTACCGGAAACGTTTCGAATTTCGTATTGAGAGATCTTAATAGATACTACAACTTATGGGAAAAAAATTCGTATGCAGGCCCACATCTTCGTATAGCCTCCATCCTTCTCCCGATACTCCTTTTTTTCATGATTTTTGCGACATTATTCACCGTAATTGTAACAAACTTTATATCTGATGTTCGTAATGGGCCTACAGCTTATGACAAAAAATTTCGTATGCAGGTCCACGTCTTCGTATTGTCCCCATATAACGGTTTTTATTTAAGTGGTAGTTTTCGGAACTTTTTTTGAAAATTTTCAATTTCTTTGGAAATGGTAGAGGGTATTAAAAGTTCGACCCGGCCGAACTTAGCTGCTTTTTTACTTGTTTCTTAATGTTCTTATTTTTTTAATTTTCATACAATCGGATAGTACATCTTACAATATGGATAGTTTTTTTTTTTTCATAAAATTGAATAATTCTCAACAATGTGGATAATATTTTCCGATAATATGGATAATTTATTTATAAAAGTGGATCATTTTTAAACGAACCTGGCGAATATTTTAAAAATGTTATAATACCATCAACGATAAATTATACAGCAACAGGGATTCAATTGCTGGTATGATCCCAAAGTTTACCCCATTGTCTTTCAATGAAGTGTACATTCACGCGGACTCAGTAAACCCAACGCTTATATTATTTTCCTTTCAAAATTATGCAAAAAATAATACCCTATTCACAGAGTTGTATAGGGTATAACAAACACTTCCCTTTGCCCAATTACATGATCTCATTACAAACAACCACATTTGACTAATATTAATAAAACCAAACAAATATTTTAACATTGTACAACTTGGTTGGCCTGTATATTCGATTCCTGCCCCGCCCTCTCATTATCACCATGCAAATATTTTTAATATTTAGTAAAAGAAAAACTAAAAAAATTAAATAATTTAAAATTCGCTTATTACATAGATACAATAATGTTCTCTCACTACAATTTATTCTTATTTGTAATTATCGATAAGTTAGACCATTGAATGTATTTAGATTTTTAAGTTGTAAATCAAATTCTGTTAATAATTCTTCAAATGCGTACTTAAATATATATATTAAGTACTCACACACACACAGACACACTTTAAAATCTATTGTTTTCTATTTATAACAATTCTCATATTCCAATTGCATAACAGCTAAGCTAAACAGGCAAATTATGTTAGTTTTCATCCAAACATATTTATAAATTTTTGAAATATATACAAAATAAATATATATACATATATATGTATAAAATAACAAAAAAAAAAAAAAAAAACAAAAACTATATTGATTGTTGTTTTTATTTGATCGATGCAGTTTACTTACTAAACTATGTTTAAATTACAGGGAGAGATAAAAAAAAAAACTTCAACAAAGTCAAACGCCATAATTTTTACACTTTTTTAATTTTATTGAATGAAAGCAAAAAATGTCGGAAATAGCATAACATTTTAGAACAAGTTTATATTTATTCGAATTGGTCACCTTTTACACGAATTATGGCCTTCAAACGGCCCTTGAAATCGTCAAACGCTGCCCGAATGTTGCTCTGCGGTATTTTGGCCCATTCCCGGCGAAGCGCTTGCTTGAGGTGACTGACACTTCGGTATTTTTGGTGCCAACCTTGCTTTCTAAAATACTCCAGACACAATAGTCCAACGGATTGGTATCCGGAGATTTTTGTGGCCATTGTGCGCTGGAAATGAAGCGAGGAACCTCATTTCGTAACCATTCTTGGGTGGAGCGTGCTGAGTCCTGTTGGAAAGTCCAAGGTCTGCGGCCAAAATGTTTGCGTGCCCTTTAATACACCCTCCAGAATAATATCGCGATAATATTAGGCATTTATTCTGATGCCACGGTCGCTTAATACGAGCGGAGAGCGACCATCGGCTGTTATGGCGGCCTATACTATCACCATGACCGGCGCTTGAGTTCTGGTGGCTACGAACGCTACCAGTGTCACGGTAACAAGCGATGGTACGAGACACAACAGATTTATTCACATTTAAATGCTGGAGTGCTCTAACGATAGCCACTTGTGGTTTTCCAGCCAAATATAAAGAAATCACACTATCACGCTTGAATTCCATCACGAATAACTTTTTTTCTGAAAAACTCTCACCAAAATGCTTTTGTACGCTTGTAAACAATATAATGAGCTATCACTGGAATAATTTTACCAACTGTCGGACGAGTGGCTTAGAAATGACAGCAGTTTGAAGTTGGTTGCAGTTTTTTCATCTCACCCTGTATATGGGAGCTATAGCTATATCTGAATCCTCCGAATTCGACGTACTTGCTTTTGACTAAAGTCAGTCTAATATACCAAAATTCAGGACTTTTTGACAAATTGGCCATTTGGTGCACAATTAACCCGAAAATGGTTGAAGATATATGTGGGACCTATATCCCAATCTGAACCGATCTTGAAAAAATTTGACAATGGTATTTCCGAACTCTATAAGATATCTAATACCAAATATCATTGTTGTCCAATGCATATTACGAATGTGAGGGACTTAAACTCCAAATCTGAACCGATTTTCTGAACCAAATTTGGTTTGCTGGCTTCTAGGCAGAATTCGGTGGGATGTATCAAAATACAGGTCATTTGGACTTACATTAGCCATTTGGTGCACAATTAACCCAAAATGGGTGAAAATATATTGGAGCTATATCTAAATCTGATTCGATTAGGGTTCGTCCTTGGGCTAAACAAATATTGTTTACAAAATTTCATCTCAATCGGATAATAAATGCGACCTGTATTTTTTTTTCACAAAAATACATGGACTGACGGACTGACATGTATAAATCGACTCAGAAAGTGATTCTATGGAGTTCCTCAAAAGTAACTATGGGTCTCCTGTAACAAACAAATGCACAAAGACATAATACCCTTACCACTATGTGGAGTAGGGAAGCCAGCCTCTAAATATATGCATTTGTAGTGGTATGAGGCTCTCTCGCCCTGCCAAATCAATGGCAAATGAAAATCTAGAGAGAAATTACATGTGCTTGGTTTATACTTTTTCGTTCGAGGATCCTCATAGCTGGTGAAGGGTATAAAAAAATAAAAAAAACGTCTCACTTTAATTCCAAAAATGAAATGACTCCCTGTGCGACCTCCTCATAGACCATGATCAATATGACAAACTGAACAAAACCCAATGCGAATTGATAAGAAAATATACACAGACATACGTCAATAAATTGGATGAAAATGAGCTTAATGTTGAAACAATTTCAAAGGCAAGCACTTCTACGAAAGTAATCAAAAATACTACCGGACAAAATGGCAGGTTGGCATCACCGATGCAAAAACAAACAAAACAAAAAAGAGATAACTTGTTTTTTCGCATCGCAAATACAATTCTTCCTAAACAAATCAGTCTTAAATCTGAACTCAGGGAAATAACATTGTTAGTCACAAACCTACATAAAATCCCCGCCAGCAGATCAAAACAAAATGTTAATAAATTCATTCATGAGTATATTTTTGTTTATGGGAATGGCGAACGGTGTGCCATTCAATATAAATCTTAAATGTTTGGAATCAACTCCGGTGGATGGACAATCTTTCCAAGAACAGCAAGAACAAGTAGTTTGCACTGATATACAAGAATTGAAAGATGTAAACGGACAAAGAAACTGGAAGCATTTAATTGTTTTCAACGAAAACAAACAAGCATTTCAAATTAATGGTAAGTATTTTGAAAATCAATGGAAATATATATATTTCGAATATTTATTTTTTTTTTTGGCAGACATCAATAGCAATTTTAGTGCATTGGAAACATTGGACTTATCCCGAATTGGCGAATTAGAACTCAACGATGATGCCTTCAAAGCAATGCAGAATCTTTTGTTTTTGAATATATCAGGAACTGGCATAGAATCGCTCAGCGGCATACATTTTTCCCCCTACAACAAATTGGAAAATCTCGATGCTAGTTGGAATACCTTAACGGAGTTGAGATTTGACTTAAAAAGCAGATTACTGTATTTACAGTATGGAAACTTTTCACACAATGCGCTAACGAAAATCGAGGAAGATGACTGGAAAGTATTTCAAAAATTAAAATGTCTGCATTTGGACAACAATGAATTGAAAACCGTCAGTTTCCATGATTATCCGCAACTTCAAGTGCTGACTTTAAGTGACAATCGAATTGAAGAGGTAAGTGATACTTATTTAAAATTATGCTGTGCGACAAAATTCAATTTTTCAATAATAAAAGGGAAGTTCTGGCAGATTATGAAAATAGAGCTAAGAATAATGAAGACACGTGTATCGGTGTTTTGAAAGTTTACATCGAAAATTAACCAAAGTAGAGGGGACAAGTTTCCCACTCTCCACAGTTTCGGAAATTTTCGTATTGAGATTCCTCGGAATTTGTGCTTTTTATGTATTTAGTGTCTTCGAAAAGGGCCAAAAAAGTTGCCTTTATGGTCCTTAAAAAAAGGTGAACCACTTTCTTTAAACGCGATCGTAGCAAGTCAATATATTCTACAAAATTATTGGTCATAAAATTCTACTATAGGTTTATAAGACGAGGCAAGAGTCTAAATCTTAACTAAATGCCTGCAATTTATATATTAACCAGTAAAGAAAGGTCAAAAGTCGGGCGGAACCGGCTATATACACCACCATGCGTATATCGGAGAACTTTATTTGAATGCGTATCAAGCTCATAATTTGGAAGCTATATCCAACTCTGAATCGATTTTCAACAAATTTTACGGAGGCTTTTGTACCTCTAGTACCAAATAATATTAAAAATTATGTATTGGAACAATAGATATACCGGACCGAGTTTCACCAAATGGCAAAATTCGGTTGAATATGAAAAAAATCTATTCAATTTGGGCTAACATTACATATGTGGTGTACAATAACCGTAAAATCGTATGAAGATGTATATCGAAGGTATAGGAAAATCTGAACCGATCTCGATAAAATTTGCTAGAATTATTTTCGATCTGTATCTGATGTCCGGTATCAAATATCATTGTTGTGGAGTGTGTATTACGCATGTGAGGGACTTTAGCATCAAATCGGATGAAACATATATATGTGAGCTAGAGCTATATCTGAACCGATTTTCTCCCAATTTAATGTACTGTATTCGGTCGAATGTACCAAAATTTAGGACTTTTGGACTGATATTGGCCATTTTTTTCACAATTAACTTGAAATCGGTTGAAGACATATATATGGGAGTTTTTTCCAAATTTCAACAAATCTTGATAAAAATTGGCAAATGTATTTCTGGGCTTCATCTGATAACTGGTACAAAATATCATTGTTGTCGAATGCATACGTCTGAACCGATTTACACCACATTTGAAGTACTGGTTTACTGGATGAATTCAGTCGTAATTGCCAAAATTCAGTGCATTTGGGCTGATATTAGCCATTAGCACAAGGATCTATATCCTAATCTGAACCGATCTCGATAAAATTTGACTGATGTCCGGTACCAAATATCATTCTCCTGGAGTGCATATTTCGCATCTGATGGATTTAAAACCCCAAATCGGGTTTATATCTGAACCGATTTTCTCCAAATTTGATTTACTTGCTTCTAGACTGAATTCGGTGGTATGTACCAAAATACAGATCATTTTGACTTATATTAGCCATTTGGTGCACAATTAAGCCGAAATCGGTTGAAGATATATGGAAGCTATATCTAAATCTGATCCGATTGTCACCAATTTCAATTGGGTTCGTCCTTGGGCCAGACAAATATTTTTTGGACATTTTCATTTTAATCGGATAATAAATGCGACTTGCTTTGTTCTCAAGAACACATGGACAGACGGACGTGCATAAATCGACTCAGAAAGTGAAAAACATTCGTTGTCCAGCAGTTTGTAAACAAACAAATACTTGCCAAAGAGGTCAGCTGAAAATGTGCACCTTCTGTTGGCCACCAGAACTCAAGCGCTGGCCATGGTGATGGTGTGGGCCGCCGTAACAGCCGATGGTCGCTCTCCGCTCGTATTAATTGACCGTGGCCGAATATTATCGCGAAAATATTCTGGAGGATGTATTAAAGCCTTGGGCACGCAAACATTTTGGCCTCAGACCGTGGGCATTCTAACGTGACTCAGCACCATCGCACTCAGCACGCGCCACACAGGAATGGGTATAAAATGAGGTTCCTCGCTTCATTTCCAGTGCACAATGGCCACCGAAATCTCCGGATAACAATCCGTTGGACTATTGTGTCTGGAGTATTTTGGAAAGCAAGGTTGGCAATAAAAAATACCAAAGTGTCGATCACCTCAAGCAAGCGGCCATAATTCCTGCCAAAGGTGAAAAATACGAACAAATCTAAACTTATTCTACAATTTCCGACATTTTTTGCTTTAATTCAATAAAATTTAAAAAAGTGTAAAACTTAAGGCGTTTGACTTTTTTGGAGTTTTTTATCTCACCCTGTATATGCATACATACTCTTTACTAAAATATATATTGCCTTTTTTTCAGCTTACGGTCAAATCATTCAGTGGTCTGCAAAGAATGGAGGAATTAAACATAACATCAAATCCTTTGCGCCACATTGGAAAGCACACTTTCAGTAGCATGACACAATTAAAAGCTCTAAATTTATCTGCGAATAGCTTAGAACTTCTAGATGTCGACGTATTTGCAGGTCTCAATCGATTATTGTGTTTAGATTTAAATTCCAACGACCTCAAAGAACTGGCGGAAAACCAATTTCAATATTTAATTAAACTGCAATATTTAGACTTGAGTCGTAATCGTTTGACGGCCCTTAATTCGACCGCTTTTAAACATCTTTCATCGTTGAGAAAACTCTATCTACATGAGAACGATTTGAAGGCGTTGACAACGAATACCTTTGCCTGGTTAACTGCCTTGGATACCCTGGACTTGTCACAAAACTCGCTAGAATATCTGGATGCCGACTTGTTTGGCTCGTCGACATTGCCACGCTTGAAAAAACTAATATTGAAAACGAATAACATCAAACGTTTGCATCCGTTTGCCTTCGCCTCTCTACCATTCATTCAGTATCTGTCGTTGGGCAACAACGAACTTACCACATTAGATGTTCGAATGTTTGCCCCAATGCGACGACTGGATAAATTACATTTGGGAAATAATCTTTTGGAAGTCATACAGCCCGAAGTTCTGGACAGTCTAACCGATGTTGGTGAGTTACTCATAGACAATAATCGTCTTTCATTTTTGCCCGACACCAATGCCACCTTTCCGCGGCTACGAAAAGTATCAATTGAAGGCAATCCGTGGCAGTGTCCTTGTCTGAACGAATTGATGGAGTTTTTGGAAATACGCCAAATAAGCTATGTCCGTGATCATAGCCCCTACTACAGTGGAAAACGGCCGTTGTGTGTTGTCACCTCTGTGGATGCATGTGTCAAGGATATTAGCTTGGTGAAGGAATATGGAATTGAAGATATATATAATACGGCGTAAACCATATTGTTTAGTTTTAGTTTCATGAGATTATATAAGACTACATAAACTTTGATAATGAACATTTTTTTAATAAATAAGTATTGTAATCGATATTGTTTTTTACGGGCCAAAAAGTCAGTAACTTTTAAAGAGAAGGAGAACTTCCCAGCTGAAGAATGTTACTATTGTATTTTAGATTTTCTTTTTTTTTTTTTTTGAAAATTTGAATAGGTTGTCATTTGACGAAAAATAAATTTTACATAAATTAAAAAATATAACATTTATTTCATTCCGTTTGGAAGCTACAGTGATTTGCACAGACAGAGCGAACTGTAGCCCCTTCACCGTGGTGAAACGAAGACATTAGAATATATGTCCGAATGACCTGTTCCAAGCTGTTATTTCCCTTCTTTACCCTCAGTCATATGGCTACAGAGGGTATATATCATTTGATATGGCCGAAACGTGCCTAATCGAAATAACTGTTTTAGACCTTCCCTGTGGACCAAATCCGATTCAGGTCATTAGGAGTAGATCTAGGGGTGTCCCACTGTCTGGCTGGCGGGTGCGCACGATATCATTCGAAGGGAGAATCCGGTTTGATCCAAACGTGGAACATCTTAATATTATTGCCAAACATAGATCAAGTTCGGTGATGAACAATATAGGTCCACTCCATTTAGTATCTCCATCACAAAAGTTCACAATTTTCCGTATAGAACAAGAAAGGATCAATTTTGTTCAAATTTTCCAATATTAGTATAAGTGCTATGTCATGTGCGAAAAAGAACAATATCAACCCACTCCATCATGTACCCCCCACACCAAGGCCCCAATTGGGAATAATTATTATAACTCTTATAAAATACGAAATAAGCATCCGATTCTCTTCAAAATTCGCACATCTCAATATTTATACCAACACAAGATCTGTGTGGGATCTGACCCCATCCTTCTGGTACCTCTCCCACAACGGGTCAACATTTTAAATAATTACATCTCCAACAAGTCAACTAGTATCAGTCGGTTTTGCCCCCCAGCCTTGAGGGGGTATAAATCTGTGGTTCCGAAGCATTTGGCTAATACTGACCAATTCGTATCTGACCTAAAACTCATATAAATATTACAACGTGCCAGATTTTGACTATATCGACTACTTCCTATACTTTATATGAGATATTTGCAATTTTTGGGGAAATGTGGAAATCTGCGTGAGGTAACAGATATAGCGGATCGAAGTATTCTGTTTTCATACTTCATCTAATAAAGATAAAAAATCTAACATTTATATCCAATTTTATGCGAAATCATAAATTCCGATAAATTACATATCTATATCAGATTTCTGGTTAAGAAAAATATAAGTATTGGAAATTGTGACCCTTTGTGGGTGAGGTACCAGAAGGGATTGGCAGATGATCTTCACAACAGATTTAGTGTTATCAAAAATGTTTCTATGTGGGAAATTTGAGGAGATGGATTGATGGATTTGGATGTTTATTTAGCTTTCTTTGAGCGTATTGTTTTTCTCGAAGTCTATGTGGGGGAGGTACCGAAAGAAATGGTGCGATCTCTACAATCTTTATAACAAATATCGTGTTGATGGAAATATTGAGATATGCCAAGTCTGAATGAAATCGGATGTTAATTTCGTGTTTTATGAGCTTCATGAATAATCAAAATTTTGACCCTTTGTGGGTGAGGTACCAGAAGAAGTTGTCGGATATATTCCATTTTCACAACAGACCTTTGATTAAAAAAATATTGGGATATGTGTAATTTGAAGACAATCGGAATTTTACATCACATTTTATAAGAGTTAAAAATTTCAAAAATTTGAAGTTTTTGGGGGATGTACTTAATTGAGTGGACCGATATTGTCCATTTTCACACTGATGAAAATTTTTGATATGCAAACTTGGTACAAAATCGTTAAAAAATGTGGCTAAAATCGACAAGATGCAGAAAGTCGTTAGGTACAGTTATATGGGGGCTATTCTAAAATGTGGACCAATATAACATATTTTAAAAACCAAAAAAATTTGGGATATAGAATTTTATTCTGATAAAGAATATTTAGATTTTATGGGCTCTAAAATGTTTCTTTTCTGGGAGTTACATACGGAATGTAGTAGTTGGGGGCCTCCTAAACTGTAGATATTTAAATTTTTAGGTCGTTCAAAAACAAATGAAAATTGTGGAATTTAATGACACAAAAAATCTTTGAAGTAGCCAATTATCTGGCTGTTCATAGAAGTGCGTATTACATATACTTTTGTTATAAGTAACAAGTTAACAAGCAGTTAGTTCTGCTTGCCCAAACTTTGAATACCCTCCACCATTTGGAACGAATTTAGACATTTTCAAAAATAATAAATAAATAAATAAATAAATAACTAATAATAATAATAATAATAATAATAATAATAATAATAATAATAATAATAATAATAATAATAATAATAATAATAATAATAATAATAATAATAATAATAATAATAATAATAATAATAATAATAATAATAATAATAATAATAATAATAATAATAATAATAATAATAATAATAATTAAATAAATAAATATATTAAACCTATAATCCGTTAAAAATTCTGTTAAACTCTTAAAAGTACCGAATATAAGGAGTTTCCGTTATTTTGGGGTCTATACGAACTCGTGGACCTGCAAAGGCAATTTTCTGTCACATTTTGTAGTCCCATTACAAAGTTCAAATATGAAAATATGAAATATGAAACAATTCCGGTAAATAATCAAAAAAAATCATTACAATACCGAATATATGACTGTAGGCTGTAATATTCGTTATGAATTTTAAATACCAAATTTGAAACAATTCCGCTGAATAATGTCGCTTAAATCACCAAAATACCGAAAATAGACAGGTACAATTATACGGGGGCTATACCAAAACGTGGACCTACTTGGACCATTTTAAATACCAAAAAGTCCTGTAGGTATAATATACATTTGAGTAAAATTTTATCAACCTACTTCATTTCGTTCGGAAGCTAAAGTGATTTCCACCGACGTATAGACGGACGGACATCGCTAAATCGATATAGAATTGTATACTGATCAAGAATATACACTTTGTGGGGTCTAAAATGCATATTTCGAGGTGTTACAAATGGGATGACAAACTTAATATGCACTCCATACTATGGTGGAGGGTAAAAAAACGCTATTGTCGTAATTCCATGTTGCTATGATATGAAGTACTTGTTTAGCGCCATCTGCATAAACAAGTACAAATCAAATTTAAATATTATTCGTTCATATGGTTGTACAGTACATGGTGGTTGCTGTATTTGCTAGTTTAAATAATGTAAAAATAAGTTGTGGTATTTTCTACAATAGATGTCAGTAAGATCGAGCATATTTGATTTTTATACCCTCCACCATACATAGTACGGTTGCTATATTAAGTTCGTCATTCCTTTTGTAACTCATCGACAAATAATTTTAGACCCTACAAAGTATATTTATTCTTGATCAGCGTAAAATTGTAAGACGTCCATCCGTCCGTCTGATATAATCACGCTACAATCAAAACGAATTATGATAGGAAGCTAAAATTTTGCATATATCTGTCTTTTTTCTGAAAGGCAGGTCAAGTTCGAAGATGGCCTATATCGGTCCACGATATCGTATAGCCCCCATATAATTATTCGGTATTTTAATGATTTTAGCCACATTTTCCAATGGTAAAAAGAATTGTCTATATAGGTCCACTATATCGTATATCTTCCATATAACCGTACGCCCGATATTCGATATTTTGATGATTTTAGCTACATTTTTCAATGGAATTGTCTGAAATTCTACACAAGGATTTCTTCATGATTAATTTACCCAGTGAAAGAGAATTGTCAATAAAGGTCCTCGATATCGTATATCCCCCATATAACGGCACCTCCCGATATTCGGCATTTTGATGATTTTAGCCACATTTTTCAATGGAATTGTCTGAAAATCCACACAAGGAGTTCCTTTTGATGATGATTTCAGCCAAATTTTTTAATGGAATTTTCTTAAAATCCAAAAAAGTTGTCACTTGTGAGTACATTGCCCCCTGAAAGAGAATTGTCAATATAGGTCCACGATATTCTATATCCCCCATATAACGGCAACTCCTGATATTCGGTATTTTGATGGCTTTTGCGATGTTATTCGCCGGAATTGTTGTAAATGTCGTATATAAAGTTCGGAGTAGTTACTACAGCCCATGACACAAATTACTTATGCAGGACCACGTCTTCGTATAGCCCCTAAATAACGGTTTTCATTTGAGCGGTGTTTTCCGACCGATTTTTTTGAAAATTTTGAAGATTCTTCCAAATGGTGGAGCGTATGGCCCGGCCGAATTTAGCTGTTTTTTTACTTGTTTTTTTTTTTCTATTTTCGATACGATTGCATAACAATTTTAAATAGTAATTTTAGCCTATATACGAATTTTTATATCAAATATTATTATACCGAGTGAATATGAGAGGACTTAAATATTATATCCAAAACTCATTTGTACAAATATATGGGAGCCATAGCAAAATTTGTTAAAAATCGTATAAAAAATTCGTCAGGCATTTTTCTTGGCCATTGATGTAAAAAGTTATAAAAACCCTATTATTTTTTAAATATATTCTCCAAAAAGGATTTTTTTCATTTTTTCTTTACTTCTTTAATGATAAAATATATATATATATATATTAATCAATTTTATTGTTGCAAAATGGTCAGGCTTATCCCTTTATTGTTGCTTTTATAAAAACAACTTTTGTTTATGAGTGGAGAACGATGGTAATGTTTACCAGGGGGTAAAGGCAGGGAATACCTAGGTTTCGGAAAGAGCCACCAATCCTCATCAGTTCTCTTGTTTTTTGTCTGGGATATTCTCCCCAGAAGTTATTTTAAAAATAACTTCTATGACAAAAAACATTTTTTACCCAAGTGACGAGATCGTAAGCTCAATAGAAGAGGAACCAAAGAATTAAATAAAACTAAAATTCTTTTGGAAAGTCTTCTAAATCTTACAACCGCACTTATAATCATTTTCATCTTTCTCCACTTGTTATGCTTTCGTTCAACCTGAACGAAGTAGCATAACCATGTAAGTTGGTTTTGTCTCTTACAACAAAAACCCCTCTGTTTTCCAAAAGAATTTTAGTTTTATTT